ATGGCCGGGCGCGTCGCGGGCCTGCGGGGGCAGCCTGGACGAAGTCGTGCCCTAAGAAGAGAGGCGCTACTCAAAAGATGGAAACGAGGGATTTAAAACTGCCATTTTGTTTTTCAGGCAAAAAGCTTGAAAAAACATTGAGGAGCCCTCTGCACCAAACGGGAGCCCCTTGGGCTGCCCGGGAACCAGAGTTTCGCTGGCCCTCACCGGGGAGGGCAGGAGGCTCCCGGTGCGGATGCCACGGCTGCGTTCTTCACCTTCATCCCAGCAAAACCCTTCCCGAGGCCAGGCCTGCCAATGCTGAACGGCCACGCGCCACAAAACAAATGGAGTTATGCTGAGGGAAGACTGATAGAGTATCGTAATAACGGAAGACCCTTTTTCCCCTCATAAACCTGATTTCCCATACATTTCTGGAAGATTAATTTAGATTCAGGAAAGTTTTGAGTGAGGTACTGGAAATAAGACTCTTAATGCAAGGCTGGTTTCTACCTGACCTTAACTACTACACCAGCTACCACTGCTCCAGAACATTTAGGTATGGAAATGTACATGCACTTCAGCTTAATTACCTAAGGACTCTGCAAAAGAAAGTCTTTAAATTGTTTTAATTGCAAATTCAGTCTTTCCAAGAGCTATACAATAGAGGTATCATCCAGTGACTAATTAACCACATATTTAAGCAAAAAAAAAACTGAAAAAAATCCAAAAAAACCCCTCTCAGCTATGTGGACACAGTCCTGCTTGCCTTAAGTAGATGATGCATGTTAACATGTGCACGTATAGAATTAAGTAGTAATTGGGGTTTGTCAAATTCTGCTTTTCTTTTGAGACTGGTTGCTACAAGTGTAACAGTAGATTTATTTTCAAGTTTACCCTCAAACTCTGCTGTTAATAAAGAAGTAGTTATTAAAGAAAAAAAATCCAGAGAAAGTTCTCAAAGGCTTCTAGCTCCTGTTACACAAATGAACTTGGTGCTTGATATGTTTCCAAGCAAGAAGTCCAGCTGAATCTAGAATTTCTACACAAATCTCCTATTCCCCCTCTTTCTTTCCCTTAATTTCCCTTTGCATTCACCCACTATATTTAGTGTGCTTTCTCTTTGGTAGCCTGCAGGGAGTGCCTCGAACAGGATACGGCTTGTTGAGGCTCTCTCGCACGTGGGCAGAGCGGCGCTCTGCAAAGCCTCCCAGACGCCTGGGAGCAG